AGCTCCAACCATCTCAGCTCCTTCATGACTGCTCACCGTCATCGTCGTTATCATCATCATCATCACCACCATCCTCACCATCAATACCATGATGTCCTGACTGCCAGCCAAGCGCCAGGCATCAAGGCTGAGCTATGATGCAAGATGAAGGCAGGCTCTCGATCCTAATGGAAGGTCCCCGGGCCAATTGGGAAGACAGGACTCAGACACCAGGGACAGGCAAACTGCAATGGCAAGTGGATAAGGGGCAGAGTTGAGAATCCCTACCCCGCCCCAGGAACCCATGAGGAGGCTTGCTCTTTGTGAGTTAAGTTCTGAAACCACCAGAATTGCACAACTGCCAGTCACTTGACCCAGGTGATGGATGGGTCTCTCCTTTTATTTATTTATTTATTTATTTTAAGATTTTCTTTATTCATGGGAGAGGCAGAGACACAGGCAGAGGGAGAAGCAGGATCCCTGAGCAGAGAGCCTGATGTGGGTCTCAATCCCAGGACCCTGGGATCATGACCTGAGCTGAAGGCAGACACTCAACCACTGAGCCACCTAGAGGCCCCAATGGGTCTCTCCTAAGGGAGTCGCAGAGGCAAACCTTAGCCATGGCAGGGCACCCCAAGCTGCCCAGGGGAGGAGATCATGGGCAAATAGGGGTTCTTCGGACTTGGCTCTCCCGCCCTAATGTTAGGACACACGGGCAGCCACCAGGCTTGTCCCAGGTCCCTGCTCACTAGCCGCCCTCCTGGGTGGGACATGGTTTCAGCACAGCAGTCCTGCAGGGACTCAACCCACCAATCAGAACTCTAGTCTTCTGACAGTCACAGGACTCGATGGCAACAACCAAGTTATTCCTTGTTTCTGTCATTCAGAAATGACAGAACAGACACTTCAACAGACACTTAACTAGATACCCACCCTGAGCCAGGTATTGTGCACGCCACGGAGAATACGGTGGTGCAAAGGCAGACAGATCCTTCCCTGACTTCACAGGGCTTCCATGCCAGCGGGGTGGCAGGCAAGAATCACCAAATAACGTCATATTGTGAGAAGTGTGGTGAAGGCAGCGAGCAGAGCAATACGATCGACAGTGATGGAGTGGTCAGCGAAGACCTCTCAGAGTAACATTTTTTTTCTTTGATGTATAACTTACACATGGTAAGTGGACACATTTTTTAGGGCACAATCTGGTGAGTTTTCACATTTGCAGGTGCAAGGGCTTCTCAACCTCTGCACTATTGACATTTGGGGCTGGATAATTCTTTGTCGTGGGGGCTGTCCCGTTCATTGTTTAGCAGCATTCCTGGCCTCTACTTGCCAGATGCCAGTAGCACTCCTCCCCCTCCCTTTTGTGACAATCGGAAATGTCTCCAGACTTTGCCAGATGTCTTCTGTGAGGCAAAATCACCCCTGTGGGCAGTTCCCCCCTGGGATAAGCCATGTCATCATGTCATCACCAGTCAGCTCAAGATACAGGCTATTCCCATCACAGAGAGGTTGACATTTGAGCTCCAACTCAATGGATGAGAAGCTGCTAAAGAACTGAGGGAAGGGGGCTTCCAGGGGGAGCGTGGGCAAAGGCCCTGAGGTGGGAATGAGCTTGGCACATTTGAGGAATGGTGTGCCTGGTCCTTGGTGACAAGGGGAAGAATGACACCTGGGAAGGTAGAAGAGGTAGGCTTGGCACCATCAATCAGGGGACTTGGCTTTGGGACATTTCAAAGAACATTTGTGAGTATCTAGTATGCATCTGGTACCACGCCAGACACTGGAGACTCAAAGATGAATCAATTAAATCATACTCCCTACTCTTCAGGAAAACAGTAAAGTCTTTAAGACTCTAGACTCTGAGATAGACATGTAAACAAACATATATATGGCATGAGGTATCGCATTGAAAGATGGAATTACGTACAAGACCTACAGCTGGCAGAAGGGGCGCCATCCGGAGTCAGCCCATGCTGGAGAGGGAGGGTTCGAGAACAGCTTTCTTAAAGAGAGCACATCTGAGCTGAGTCTTTAGGGAACATGGGATGAATGACACTCCAGGCAGAAGGCACAGCCTGTGCAAAGTCACAGGGGTATGAGGCAATATGATCGATTCAGGGAAAAATAACTAGTTAGGTAATATAAGGTACAAAGTGCAAGAGGAGGTAAATAATGAGGCATCGGTCTGGCTGGGACAGAAGATTCTCATGGGAGAGGAGATGAAACTAAAGCAGATTTGGGGGTGCCTGGCTGGCTCAGAGAAGCCTAAGACTCTTGATCTTGGGGTTGTAAATTCAAGCCCCCCATTGGGTGTAAGGATTACATTAAAAAGTAAAATCTTTAAAGCAGATTCGGAGCAGATGTTGGAAATCTTCCAGAGTAGTCCAGGGAAGGAGAGGAGGGCTTCCTGAGCCTACGTGAGGCCCCTAAGACACCCACCCTCACTCATCCCCAGCCCTGTCCTGGCTCCATGTCTTGTGAAACGCATTTTGGACGCATTATCTGTAATCTTGTCAAGGTGTGTGTGGCTGGAGATTAAGGATTTGATCACTGTGTATCCTCCACAGGCTCATGCCTGAGCCTGCATTTCCTGTTTCAGATGACGGAGACGGTATTTTAATTTCAATATAATGCTTGGCACAGCCTTACCTGCAGAAAAGTGTGTTCACAAAGATTTTTTTTAAGACTTTATTTATTTATTCATGAGAGACACACAGAGAGAGAGAGGTGGAGACACAGGCAGAGGGAGAAGCGGGCTCCATGCAGGGAGTCTGACCTGGTACTCGACCCCAGGACTCCAGGATCACACCCCGGGCTGGAGGCTGCCCTCACAATGATTTTTTATGAGGTTTCACAATTCTTCACTTTGCATGGACGCAGACTTAGAGACATGCAGACTCCCTTGGCCTGGAAGGGCCTTCTGCAAAGTAGCCTGCCAGTCCTGTGCCCTCCCCCTCAGGCTCAGCGCCCACAGGTGGGAGGCTGTCAGCCGGAGCCTAATTCCATTCTATCTGATACTTGTTTACTGAGCCCCTTGGTGTGCCAGGCCCGGGCCTGAGAAGGAGCCGGATTGTGGGCAAGGAGATAGGGAGGGAGCGAGCCATAGGCTCTGTACCCACATAAGAGGAAGTCCATGTCCAGGGTTTCTGAATGAAACCAGGATTAGGTGTTGTGATTACAATTCCTTTTGGGGATAAATCAATCCATGTCTTGGCTCTTTCAGAGGGTGAGGATGAGGCCTCCAATTCATTGTGAGTAATGATCCTCCACTTCTATGCTCTCCACACTGGGGACCCAGCCTTTAGACCTAGCTGGCCATCAGAGGGACAGAGTGTGTGTGATTGGGGGGGGAAGCTTATCCAGGGTCTTAGGCCTGAGCACAGGCTGCAGGGAAGAAAACAGGAGCATCTGCCTCCCCTGCTTCCCTCCCCCCACAACCATCTCCCAGCAGGAGAGAGAGCTAATTTGACCATTGGCAGCATTTCCTTCCCTTCTTGTGCTGGGCCAGGGCTAGGGCTGGAGCAGAAGGTTTGCCCAAATTTGTCGATGTCACCATACCCGCCCTTGCATCTATTTTCCTCCCACCGACCTCAGCAACTTCTGGAACCCGGCAGGGCAGCAGTGCAGGGGGTGGGAGCAGGGGGTGGGGGACAATGATGTGGAAATCCCACTGGGCTTGGGTGGCAGGATACCAAGGTCCTAGTCCTGTTTCTGCCACCCATTGTTGCATAATCCTGGTTGAATCACACCCTCTGAGCCTCTGTGCCCTCTTCTTATCCTTAAGGGCATGATTTACACTTCACCTGCTTAGGGAGCGCCTCCCCTACCTAAATTGGTCCTCTGTCCTTGTCACTGCCCTCTCTGCTCGCTCCCTTTAGCACAGCCACACTTTGGTTGTTTGTGTTTGTTTTTGTTTTTGTTTTTAAGATTTTATTTATTCATGAGAGACAGACAGAGAGAGAGAGAGAGGCAGAGACACAGGCAGAGGGAGAAGCAGGCTCCCTACAGGAGTCCCATATGGGACTCCATCCCACCACTGGGGGATCACACCCTGAGCCAAAGGCAGATGCCCAGCCACTGGGCCATCCAGGCATCCCTATCACAGCACATTTTTGTAATTACACACAAGTACGTACATATGTATGTGTGTGTGTGTATATATGTGTGTGTATATAAATATAAATAAATGCATATATAATTATGTTTGCTTATTTGGTTTGTTTCACTGCCAGATTCTAGATTGTAGGCTCCAGGAATGTAGAGGCTGTGTGCCCTTTTTTTTTTTTTTTAAGATTTTATTTATTCATGAGAGACAGAGAGAGAGAGAGAGGCAGAGACACAGGCAGAGGGAGAAGCAGGCTCCATGCAGGGAGCCCGACATGGGACTCGATCCCAGGTCTCCAGGATCACACCCCGGGCTGAAGGCCGCGCTAAGCCCCTGAGCCACCCGGGCTGCCCGAGGCTGTGTGTCCTTGACCCTTGCATCCTCAGAGCCTAGCACAGTGCCTGGCACAAAGGTGGGCACAGAACAGTCATTTAGTGAATGAATGAACGAACGAACGGATGGATGGATGGATGGATGGCAGCTGACCACATGCTCTTCCAGGTTCCCTCCTGCTGCAAGAGTCCCAGTCTTGGTTTCCCGCCCAGAGGACCATTCCAGGGCCTCTCCCAGGCTGCCTGTTGGGGGAGGGTGGGAGGACGGGAGGCGGACGGGGGACGGGTACCCGCCGAGCGCCCGTCCCCCGCCCCCACCCCGGGCCGGGAGACCCTGGGCGACCTCCCCTCCTCTCCCCTCCCCGGCGGTGGCCTCCGGGGCTCGCCCGGCCGAGGGCGACGAGGGGGCGGGGCGGCGCGCGAGCGGCGGGGCGGGCACAGCGCCCCCCACGGGCCTGCGGGCAGCGGGGGCGGGGCCGCCCCGCCGACTCCCGCCGGGCGCCCGGGCGCAGCCGTCGCCTAGCAACGCCCCGCCCCGCCCGCCCCGCCCCGCCCCGCCCCCGCCGCGGGCGCCGCGGGCGCCTGCCCCCAGCATGGCCTGGCCGGGCGGGCCGGCGCTGTGGCTGTGGGTCGCGGGCTGCGGGCTGCTGCTGCTCGTCGGCGTCCTGCTCGCGAGCCCCCGCAGCCGCCGAGCGCGGCGGACCCTCCGCGGCCTGCTCATGGCGCGCAGCAAGCGGCTGCTCTTCCGAATCGGGTTAGTGCCCGGCCGCCGGGGCGGGATGCGGGGCTCCGGCCGCGGGCGCGCGGGGGCAGGGGCGCGGGGAGGCGCGGCCGGGTCGGACCGAGCCGGGGCTGGGCATCCAGGGCCACACGGGAGCGATCCGAGAGGCGGGCAGGGGAAGCCACCGGTTTGGGGGAACTGAGGGAGAGCGGGCATTGGGGGGCTGGAAAATTGGGATGGACTGGAGCGGCAGGCCAGGGCGGCCCGGGGAAGGCGGCAGGGAGGGCATCTGGAGAAAAGAGCCCGGGGAGGGGCCGGAGAGACGGAGCTGGGAGAGGAGGGCAGGTGCCAGAGAGAAGGGATGCCTCTGCCCGCCAAGGTGTCACCTGAAACCGCCCGCTCCTTCCAAGTGTCCCCATCCTGCGCCCCATCGCCCGGCTGCCCACCACACGCCGTAAGCGCTTCTGTCCCAAGCGAGAGTCCCAACTTTGTAGGTCTGTCTCTCCTTCCACTCCCCCAGCCCGGCCCGAGTCCAGAGCCCCGGGCTGTGAAATCCGACCCCACTCACTCAGCCACAAGTGTGGAGCTTCGCTGACCTCCAAGGACTTTTTTCCGTCCGACCCCCTCCCCCCCAGTCCTCACTCTCCTTCCCCCTACTTCTCCCCTAGCCCCGAGCCAGACAAGGAGGGTAACCAGCTCCCATCTGCCACGAAGACACTAAGAGGCAGGGAGGGAACCACACACGAGAAGCCTTCCTAGGGCCCCTGTTCCCTTCCCGCAGCTGCTGGGGGCAGGACCTCAAGCCTGAGGACAGCTATGATAGGGACGGGAACTGTGGGAGCCCTGGCCACTGGCCAGGTTTGGGGGAGGGCGCAAGTCTGGGAATTTCCTGAGCTTCAGAGAGGACATTGTACAATTTATCCGTCCTCCCCAGACCACCCCAGATCTTCCAAGAAGCTTCGGCCCTGGGCTTCTTCCCAAACTCCGTCCAAGGAGTAGAGATACAAGGGCTAGTGAGGGGAAAAGTGGAAAAACTTGCAGGGGAGAGAGAATCCTGGGTGGGTGCCTTTGGGGCATTCACATCTCTAATGGCTCAAACACTGGGCAGACTCTTTTTTTTTTTTTCCTTCTAAGATTCTTTTTAAAGTAATCTCTACACCCAATGTAGGGCCCAGTGCTCAAACTCACAACCCCAAGATCAGGAGTCACATGTTCTACCCACTGAGCCAGCCAGGCACCCCAACATTGGTTACATTCTTGCTAATGCTCCAGGCAAGTCACCATTGCTCTGCAAATGGTGTTAAAATAATGAGATTTACAGGTGTTTAAATAATTTCATATTTGGGACCTAAAAAATATGTTCCCCATAAAATTTCTGGGAATTTCACAGCTCTATTTGGGAAAGGAGTTTAAAATTTACTTCTGACTTTCAAAATCAGTAATGTTGAAGTCATACAAATGCCCTGAGGAAGTGGAAAATGAAGGTTTCCACAAAGAACTGGAATCAGAAGTCCTGAAATAAGAATTCCCAAGATTGCCTTCTCTGAATCCCGAGGGTCTGGGTATTCCTAGAACTTAGGACCTGGGAGTTTCCAAAACCCAAAACTTGGAATTCTCAGAGAGCTTCTTTGGAATTCCGTGTTCCTGTTGGGCTCCCCTGTGTCTGGATCTCACTCTTGCCTTGGAATCAGCTCCCCAAATTTGTAGAGCAGAAGGGCGTGCCTAGAATCAGAATCCAGGGTCTGGGAAACAATCAGTTCAGTCCCCTGGGGGAGAGACTGTTGGCTGCTGGGAGGGACAGGGGGTGTGAGCAGGAAATGGTCTGGGGGAAATGGGCAGGTGTTGCTGCTGGGAGGTTGCCTCCAGGAAGGATGGAGAGGGCAGGGTGGTGGGGTGGGACTGGACAGGTCGAGATGGGAAGGGGGAGCGCAGGGGCACACTCCACCCCTGATATGTGGCTGAGAGGACCACAGATAGAAGGTTCCACTGGGGGCTGGAAAGCAGGTGATGGACATACTAAGAGAAGAGCAATTGTTATCATTAATAGCAGTAATCACTGGCGTGTGACAATTTTATAAAGGGCTTTCCTCAAACATAACCACAGTTGCCTTGGGACGGGGATGGCTGGGTCTGATGGAGGGTACATCTGGGCTAACCTGAGATAGACACACATATTTGGGACTGTGCCGGGTACGGGAAGCACATGGAATGTGGGGTTGGGCAAATCTGCTTTTGAGGCTTAGGTTTGTTGCTTAGTAGCCATGGGACCTTGGACAGATAACTCAACCTGTCTGTGCCTTGGTGGTCTGCATCTGTAGAATGGGCATGGTGATCGTACCTCTCTCATGGGGATCTTCTGGGGATTGAATGAAATTGTGCATATAAGTGCACAGGGCCTGGCTCCTAGCAAGTGCTTGGGAAATGTTAACAATGGCTCGTTCTGTAGGATGGAGAATGGGTGGGAAGGTGGCATTGGCCAGTCTCCTTCTGGAGCTTCCTTTCTTCCTTCTCTTGTTTTCCAAGCCTATCCTATGCACCCATCCTTCAGGAGATCCCACATCCCTTTATTCATCCAGTGAACTCCTAACTCTTCTGGGTTGGGACCGTGGGACCACAGATAGGAACGGAGTCTGGTCGTTGCTTTGCTGCTCTCAGGGAATACAGGGAAAGGAGCATGAACAGAGACCCCCAGTCTATGGCAGGAGGCAGGGCACGACAAGTTCCCCAAGGGGTGGCAGGGGTTGCCTGTGGAGGCTGGGATCAGGAGCATGGGACTCTCCTATGTGTGCCACCTGCTTCGTGCCCCAGTTTCCCTTTTGCCCCTTCGCCTTCTCAGTGGTAGTTGAGAAGGTGTTGCAGAATGGGGCCCTGAGCAGGGCATCTGTCTGCAGGGGCAGGGGTGAATGGGGAACAAGACTGGGCTTGCCCAGGGCTCCGAATGTCTTACAGAACTGAGAAAGCAAATGGCAGCTGGCCTTGAGGGTAGGCAGTCCTAGCTGCCAGAGCCCTTCTTCCCCCCTGACCAAACCTCCTCCTCATTCCTAGGCAGAGAGGGTCTTTCTTGACTCTCCTGACCCGAGGAAAGCCAACTGTCCCCAGGACAAACCTTGCTTGCTCTACTTCTGCAAGAGGAACCGCTTCTCTGGGGCCAGTGAGGCCCACTGGCTCGATTTCAGGGAGAGGCTGGAATCCTGAGCTGAGGGCCCTGGAGGAAGTGAGCCACCTGCTCGTGACCGGAACCCTGAACGAAGGCCGGGCAGAGGCAGTGGGGTGCGCCTTCCCCAGCCCAGCACAGCCTGCATGAGGGGAGCAGGGTCCTCCACCCTGGGCAGCTACAGCCCCTGCATCCACAGGGGCCCTTTGCTGTAGGGTCATTTCCAAAGCATGGCTCTGAGTGGGTGTCGCCTTGCCCAAGCCACATTGCCTTGGGGAGTCCATGCCCCTTGCACAGGCCTTTGGGGCCCTCCTTCACCTGCTCCAGACCTGCCTCATGCTGTCTTCCCCAGGCCCGCAGCAATTTCTCTACTTCTGTCTGGGACCTGTCAGACCTTCCTTCCTCCCTGTGTCAAATTTTGTTGCATTCTCGAAGCTCACTTTCAAAATATATCCAAGTGTACCTGGCTGGCTCAGTCGGTAGAGCATAGGACTCTGTGGTCCTGAGGTCAAGCCCCATGCTGGGTGTAGAGTTGACTTTAAAAAATAAATAAATAGAGGGTATGATGCTGAGTGAAATAAGTCAATCGGAGAAGGACAAACATTATATGTTCTCATTCATTTGGGGAATATAAATAATAGTGAAAGGGAATAGAAGGGAAGGGAGAAGAAATATGTGGGAAATATCAGAAAGGGAGACAGAACATAAAGACTCCTAACTCTGGGAAACGAACTAGGGGTGGTGGAAGGGGAGGAGGGCGGGGGGGGGTGGGGGTGACTGGGTGACGGGCACTGAGGGGGACACTTGACGGGATGAGCACTGGGTGTTATTCTGTATGTTGGCAAATTGAGCACCAATAAAAAATAAATTTATTAAATAAATAAATAAATAAATAAATAAATAAATAAATAAATAAATAAATAAATAGAAATAAAATATATCCCAAATCTGAAACACCTACTCCTACTTCCACTGTTATCACCCTGGGCCAACCATGGTCATCTCCTGCCTGACCTCCTGTGCTGCTTCCTGGCATTTGTTACTCCCGCCTCCCTCAAAGTATTCTCAGCACAGCAATTAGAACAAAACCATGAAGATTTAAGTCAGAAATGTGCCATCCTCTGCCCAGATCCCTCCAGAATGGCTTCAAGGTCCCGTGGAACCAGCCCATCCCCCTCCTCACCGTTTAATGCTCTTCACCTTGCTCATTCTGCAAAGTGCCTACTCCAGCCACTTGGCTCGTCTCCAGATGCTCCAAGACAGTCTTACCTCTGAGCCCTTCAATTGCTGGTCTTTCTCACTAGAACCTTCTTTCCCAGATGGCCACATGCCCTGCTGCCCCACTCCCTTCAGGTCTCTGCTCATATTTTACCCTACTAGGGAGTCCTGCCCCGACCACCCTTTATAACATGGCAATGCTCACACCCCTGCACTCTATCTCGTCTCTCCTGCTTTATTGTGGTCCGTGTACATGTCACCATAGGGCATCCTATATATTGATTTGTCTATTTGTTTATTGGTTTCCTCCCCCAACTGGAATATGAGCCACAGGAGGGAAGAGATTTCTCTCACTAATGTATCCCAGGGCCAGGACAGTGCCAGGCAGAGTTGGCCCTTGTTAAAAGTTTTTTGAATGGATGAAAAGCTTGGCACAGGTGCCATCTCCTCCATGAAGCCCGTCCAGGCTCATCAGTCAAAACTCATCTCTGCCTCTAGTGTGACCCTTGGCACTGGCATCCCCCTTAGAGCTTTCTTTCTTTTTTTTTAAATTTTATGTATTTATTCATGAAAGACACACAGAGAGGCAGAGACACAGGCAGAGGGAGAAGCAGGCTCCCTGCAAGGAGCCTGATGCGGGACTCGATCCCAGGACCTCAGG